CCTATAAATCGAGGTCTCAACTTTCCCTTCTGGCCAAAGCTAAGAACTCCTTTTATTGGTGTCACTTTTAGAAACACTTTCTGACAGACTTCCAATTATATTGATTTCCTTCGTTGATCTGCATAGCTTTTCTATCTGTCTCGAATTTTATCAATTGCTTGTATTGTCCTTGCAATAATTTCTAGACCCAAAATTCGATTTCTCCAACTTCATCCCAGAGTGTCAGAGATCTACACCTTCTACCATAGAGAGCTTCATAAGGAGTCATGCCAATAGTAGCCTGGAGGCTATTATTGTATGCAAACTCTACAAACGATGGGTGGGACTCCCAACTAGTTCCCAAATCTAATACACATGCTCGGAGCATGTCTTCTAAGATTTGAATAGTCCTTTTAGACTGTCCATCAGATTGAAGATGATAGGCGGTGTTGAAATTTAACTTTGTCCCCATAGCTCTTTGCATGCTCTTCCAAAATTTGGAAGTAAACCTTGGATCTCGATATGAGACAATAGATATTGGAACTCCATGCAGCCTAACAATTTCCTTAACATATAATTGGGCAAATTGATTTATACTGTAGTTCATTCTTACTAGAAGAAAATGGGCTGACTTTGTCAATCGATCTACAATTACCCAGATAGCATCGTGTCCTTTTGTTGACTTCGGAAAACCTACAACAAAATCCATGGCTATTTTCTCCCATTTCCACTCCGGAATTTCCAATGGATTTAATAGCCCTGATGGCCTTTGATGTTCTACTTTAACTTGCTGACATACTATGCACTTCTCAACAAAAAGACCAATCTCTCTTTTCATATTCATCCACCAAAATATATCGCGAATGTCTCGATACATTTTAGTACCCCAGGATGTGCAGCATACAGGGCATAGTCAGCTTTCTCTAATATCTCATTTCTTATCCCTTCATCTTTCGGTACACATAACCTTCCTTCGAACATCAAAGCATTGTCATCTGCTATTGCAAAACCCATTCTTTTACTTGTACCAACTTCCGCCTTGATTTTTCTAAAAAATGGGTCATTATCCTGAATATGGAACTAAGCTAGGGATTCTCATCGTTAAATGATGTAATCCTTGCTGTAACTCGAGCTGGCGGAATGACAACTTCTAAATTCAATTTATCGAACTCCTTTATCAATTGCAATTGAGTTGTGGGTAAAACTACTAATTGTCCCACTGCCTTCCTATTAAGAGCATCTGCGACTACATTAGCCTTATCGGGATGGTAATGAATAGTTCAGTCATAATCCTTAACTAATTCTAACCACGTTATCTACCTCTTATTCAAATCCTTTGGAATGAAAAAATATTTCAAGCTCTTATGATCAGAATAAATATACTACCGCCCCCAACTCTAGATCATGCGTATGGTAGCTTTGCTCGTGTTGTTTTAATTATCTTGAGGCGTATGCGATCGCCTTCCCAAACTGTATCAGTACACATCCTAAACCTTGTTTGGATGCATCACTATATATAACGAATCCATCTGAACCCTCTGGTATAGCTAAAATTGGAGATGCAACCAATTTCTGTTTCAGTTCCTGAAAACTCTTCTCACACCTCTCAGTCCATTGAAACTTTATGCCCTGCCTCGTTAGTTGGGTCATCGGCCCAGCTATTTTGGAGAATCCCTCAATGCACCTCCGATAATAACCGGCCAGTCCCAAGACACTACGAACTTCACCTACGCTCGTTGGTCTGGACCAGTTGGTTACTGCTTCAACTTT